TTTATCGATGCATTAAACTTTTCAGTCAGATGTCATCAAAACATCATTACTCTGCGATTCTGGTCAATTGTATAATCTTACTGTGCTTGGTGGATCGAATGGTTGGTTGGTGAGTGTGGATTCGTATGTTTGAGGTGATGAAACATTATAATGATGATGAGAAATAATTTGACTTTAATGATTTTTTAAATGATTTGGAAAATTCAAAAAACATTTCACTCATTTTTTGATATTGTTATTCTTGTTATTATTCTTATCAGCTCATTTTATATTGCTGTCTTGTTTTTTGTTTTTTTTTGTTAAGGTTTTCTGCTATGAGGTTCTGTACACTTGATTCATGTCATCGCTGAATCGCCAGCTAAATTTTCCTTTTCATCTTCCTGAAGGCTTTAGTTTGTGTATTTTTTTTGTTCGATCACAAATGTCTGAGTTTGCACTTCGCATTCAACAATTTTACATTCGGATTTGTCGTAATCCTATTGTATAAAACATTTGTGCCTGTTCGATAATCTTGGTGTCTTATGTGATCTGATGAATGATCTGATTTATTAAAAGTCTTTTTTTACAAATTGTACCTTCGTTTCTCGATTCTGTGATCTAGTTTTGCGACCAATTGCAAAGGTCTTCTGATCGTTACGGGTTTTTTCATTTGAATGCAGCAGAAATGTTTCGCATTCCAATTTCGAATCGTATTGTGTTATCGTAATTGTGTGCAACATTTACATCATGATGTTGTCGTTGTTGTTGCATTTGTTTTGTTTCGTGTTGTAGTGAATTAAAGTATGGATCTCGTTTCATGGAAATATATTCTCAGATTTGTTACAATAAAGTATTGTTCATTAATTTTGTGGCATCCATTTTTCATCCTTATAACTAAATGAATATTCCGAAAATGGACGGTTGTAAATGAATATTTTACGGGTTGATGAGCAACTGAAGTTTTACTTATTGCAGCGATTGTCGGAATGATGAGTTGATTGTATTTGCGAGCGAGTTTAAGAAATTCTCAAAGCAGTATATTGATTACAGTAGAGATTTGTCGAGCATAACTTCTCTCGAAACTTGGGTTTGGACGATGATGAAAATTATGAAATTACTCTAGAAATTTTCGTATAAAGGCTTGAATGTGGATTGAGGTGATGAGTTTTTGGTACATTGTGGATTTATTTCAGCTGAAAATGGGAAAAACATCAAAGGACAAACGTGACATTTACTATCGTTTAGCTAAAGAAGAAGGTTGGAGGGCACGAAGCGCATTTAAATTGATGCAAATTGATGAGGAATTCAATTTATTCGAAGGTTCACTTTTCGTTCCGTTTATATTCATTCACATGTAAAGTGCGTTTGTTTAATCTCTTTTATTACGATTCTTCCACAAAAAAGACAAAATAAATCCTATGTGATCGCCACAATTCAATTGGCTCTGTGTTATTTAAAGTGAAGTGAGTGACGATAACAATAGTAATAATACCTTAAATAAGTAAGAATTAATCGGTCGTAACTAAAGGCGTAACTCGAGCGGTGGATCTATGCGCTGCACCAGGCAGTTGGAGTCAGGTGCTTTCGAAACGACTCTATTTTGGTGAAGATGATGAAGCGAAACGTGAAAATGTAGGTCTCTTGGAAATTGAATCATAAAAGGAACACTGAGTTTTTTGAAAAATTTTCGTTTTGATCAAACCCTCTCGAGAAGACGAAATCTTCATATGTTATTCACTGATTAAGTGGATTTTAGGTGAGAATAGTCGCCGTTGATTTACAACCAATGTCGCCGTTGCCGGGTGTCATTCAACTGCAAGGCGACATAACCGAGGTTCCTGGTTTCGTTTCAATTCATTGTTTCAATTAATTTCGTGGAGAATCTCATAGATTCATTTCAATTTGCGTGTGTGCAATCGCAACCATTCAAAATTGTGCCGTGGAAACTCTTAGGTACCGTCTAGGTGTAGACTGTGATAAGCAGTTGCTTTGAAGGTTACTTGAGATTTTCCGTAACGTTCGGCTAGAATCTGTGAATATCTCCGATTCGAGGCAGTCTTG